CCTCCCCCAACCTAGAGAGTCAGAACATCTGGGCTCCTGCATCTTAACAAGCTCCCTGGGTGATGCTGCTGGGCCTCCAAGTTGGAGAACCTCTGTATTTGAAGAAATTCGGACTCCTTGGGGACTCAAATCTTATTTCAGCTCTTCTCTGGACCAGTTTGACTTTAGCCTAGATGTAAAATGGGTATACATTTTACATGCCTGTGATGCCAGGATGCACTCACAGGGGAGGGAGGGCTTTAGCAGAGGTCAGAATCTAAGCCACCACTACAGTTGTACCAGATCCATGGAGAAAGACACCCAGGCCTCATTTCCTCATTGTTCTCTCTTCCCTTACCTGGCTTTATGGTTCTTCATAGCGCTGAGCACCACTGGGCAGTGTATTTTATGTTTTTTTGAGTTTCATAAGGCCAAGGACTATGTTTTGTTTATAACTGTTCCCCCATTTCCTAGAACAGTGCCTGGTACACAGGGGTGCTCAATAAATGTTTGTGGAATGATTGAATAAAAGTTGTTCCTGTACAGATTCCACCTGCCTAGAGCAAAGCCAGGACACTGATTGGGATGAACACATAGCACGTGCCAGACATGGCTCTGAGTGCTTTACCTGCATCATCTCACTTCATATGTGACAGCCAAATGGCCCCCAGTGGCCTTCACCAGTTGGTATTCACACCTTTGAACAGTTTCGTCCTATCCTGAGCTGGGCTGACCAGTGTAATTAATAGGATATTGTGAAATGAGAAAGTATGACGTTTAAGATTAGGTCATAAAATACGTTATGGTTTCTGCTTTGCTTTTCTGGATCATCTGCTCTGGGGAGAGCCAGCTGCCATGTTGTGAGGACACTCAGTTACCCCTGTGGAAACGTACATGTGGTGAGGAACGTAGGCATTCTGCAAATAATCAGCACCACCCAGGCACATGAGAGAGCTTTCTTGAGTCGATCCTCCAGCCCCAGTCAAGCCTTCAGACGACTGCAGCCCCAGCTAACATCTTAACTACAACTTCACGAGAGACCCTGAGTCAGAACCATCTATGTAGCTGCTCCCCAGCTCCTACCCCACAGAAACTGTGTAACAGCATACATGTTTATTGCTGTTTTAAGCTGTTAATTTTGGGAAATTTGCTATGTATCAATAATTAATAACTTGTACAGATTCTCACAACAGCCTATGTGGGAGAAGCCATTATAATCACCATTGTACAGAGAAAGAAACTGAGGCCCAGATGGGGGAATCTTTGTCCAGGGTCACAGAGATAGTGAACTGTAGCACTGAGATTGGAACCCAAGTTTGAATGACTAGAGTCTACCCACTGAGGTGAAGGGTGTTCAACTTGAATGCCAGCTCTTCCCCTGAAGGGCCAAGGCTGAGACCAGAAAACCTGAAACAATATAGCTGACCCCAATATAAATATGTGTAGGTCACTCAGGGCTGATGGTACATGACCATAATAAATCAGCAGGGTCATTAGGAGAAAACAAGACAATAGGAGTGAAAACGGACAGAAACAGATATGCCCAGAGTTTGCATATCAGTATTATCAGATGCAGATTACAAAACAAAATGTTGGCCAGGTGTGGTGGCTCATGCCTGTAATCCCAGCCCTTTGCGGGGCTGAGGCACATGGATCACCTGAGGTCGGGAGTTCAAGACCAGCCTGGCCAACATGGTGAAACCCAGTCTCTACCAAAAATACAAAAAATTAGCCAGGAGTGGTGGCAGATGCCTGTAATCCCAGCTACTCAGGAGGCTGAGGCAGGAGAATCAGGAGGCGGAGGTTGCAGTGAGCCAAGATCGTGCCATTTGCACTTCAGCCTGGGCAACAAGAGTGAAACTCCATCACACACACACATACACAAAAATTAAATTTAAAAGATGGGCTAAACAGCAAATTAGACATGGCTAAAGAGGGAATTAATGAGACAGAAATCAGACACCAATCACAGATTCAAGAAACTCCATAAATTTCACACATAGACACATCATAGTAAAAATGCAAAAAAAAAAACCCCAAATATTAAAAAAAAAAAAATTCTTAAAAGCACTCAGAGGAAAAGATTCAGAGATTCTAAGAACAAAAAACAAAACAAACAAACAAACAAAATCCCAAAACAACAACAAAAAACAAAAAATACCCAGTACTACCACATGGATAAACCTCAAAAACATTATGTCAAGAAAAACCCCAATGTTATGCCAAGTGAAAGAAGCCAGTCACAAAGATTCACATATTGTCAAAGCCTAATTTTCTTTTTGGTCTCACTCTGTCACCCAGGCTGCAGTGCAGTGGGGCAATCACTGCTCTACAGGTGCACACCATCACACTCGGCTAATTTTTATATTTTTTGTAGAGATGGAGTTTCACCATGTTGCCCAGGCTGGTCTTGAATTCCTGGGCTCAAGCGATCCACCCGGCTTGGCCTCCCCAAGTGCTGGGATTACTGGCACGAGCCACTGTGGCCCATCAGTAAGATCTAATTTCTATAAAATATCAGGAAGAGGAAAGTCTATAGAGACATAAAGTATATTAGTGCTGTCAGTTGGAGGATGGGGAAGAGGGAATGTCTGCTAATGAGTACAGGTCTATTTTGGGGTGATAAAAATTTTCTTTCTTTCTCTCTCTTTCTTTCCCTTCCTTCCTTCCTTCCTTCCTCCCTCCCTCCCTCCCTCCCTCCTTCCTTCCTTCCTTCCTTCCTTCCTTCCTTCCTTCCTTTTCTTATGGAATCTCGCTTTATCACGCAGGCTGGAGTACAATGGTGCGATCTCAGCTCACTGCAACCTCCGCCTCCCGGGTTCAAGCAATTCTCATGCCTCAGGCTCCGCAGTAGCTAGGATTACAGATGCCCACCACCACACCTGGCTAATTTTTGCATTTTTAGTAGAGACAGGGTTTCACCATGTTGGCCAGGCTGGTCTCGAACTCCTGACCTCAAGTGATCCGCCCGCCTCAGCCTCCCAAAGTGCTGGGATTGCAGGTGTGAGCCACCATGCCCAGCCAAAAATGTTCTAAAATTTGATTGTGGTGATGGGTGCACAATTCTGTAAATGTTACTAAAAACTATTAAATTGTATATTTTAAGTGGGTGGATTTTATGGCATATAAATTATATCTCAATAAAGTTGTTTATAAAAAGAACAGCAGTTAGACTGACAGGTGATGATGTCTCAACAGCAACCATTTCCCAGTATTTTGGGAGGCCGAGGTGGGCAGATCTCTTGAGCCCACGAGTTCAAGACCAGCCTGGGGAACATGACCAAACCCTGTCTCTACAAAACTTAGCCAAGTGTGGTGGCACGTGGCCGTGGTTGCAGCTACTCGGGAAGCTGAGCCCAGGAGTTGGAGACTGTAGTGAGCCATGATTACGCCACTGCACTCCAGCCTGAGCAACACGAGTGAAACTCCGTCTCAAAAAAAAAAAAAAAAAGCTTGCCCCAGGCCATTCAAATGTACAGCCAAGGTTGAAAAACATTGTCTTAAGACATGCGTTTCAGGCAAAAGAAAAATTATCACACATGGGCCGGGCTCGGTGGCTCATGCCTGTAATCCTAGCACTTTGGGAGGCCGAGCCAGGCGGATCATGAGGTCAGGAGATCGAGACCATCCTGGCTAACACGATGAAATCCCGTCTCTACTAAAAATACAAAAAATCAGCCAGGCCTGGTGGGCGGGCGCCCGTAGTCCCAGCTACTCGGGAGGCTGAGGCAGGAGAATGGCATGAACTCGGGAGGCACAGCTTGCAGTGAGCCGAGATCGCGCCACTGCACTCTGGCCTGGGTGACAGAGCGAGGCTCTTGTCTCAAAAAAAAAAAAAAAAAGAAAAAAGAAAAAAAGAAAGAAAAATTATCCCAGATGAAGATCAGGTTCATTCCTTCATTTAACATATGGAGCCTCCGTTACGTGTTTGGAACTGTGCTAGACACCAGGAACACAGCAGTGAGCAAAACAAATCAAAAAGTCCCTGCCCTCGAGGAGAGGAAAACAGACACAGAAAAACATAAATAAGTAAAATATGCTCCGTTAGACAGTAATAGATGCTGAGAAGAAAAAAAAATGAAGCCAGGAAGGCGGATGTGAAATGCTGGATACATGCGTGTCCGTGAAATTTCAGATGGAGTAGCTAGGGAAGATTTTTGGGTAAAGACCAAAATAAAGGGAAGGAGCGAGCCATGCAGACGTTTGGGTTACGGCAGGTGCAAAGGCCCTAAGGCAGGAGTGTGTCTGACTTACTCCAGGCCCCAGCAGGTCAATGGGACTTGAGTGGAGTGAGGCAAGGGCAGGATAGTTAGCTACGAAGACAGAGATCTGGAGGCAGTTTACAAGCCCTGGGGAAGATCTCGGCTGTTACTTTAAGCGAGATGGGAGTACTTGAGTCGGGGAGTGGCCTGAGTTTGATTTACATTTTAACAGGACTCTCAGGCAGCTGGGTGGAAATGGACAGAAGAGGGCAAAAAGAGAAGCAAGGAGGCCCAGGAGGAGGCTGATTCAGGACCCCTGAGATGATGGAGCACTGATGGAGCTGGAGCGGGATGGGGCCGGAGGAGGTGAGGGATGAGAGTCTGCAAGTGGAGCCCACAGGATCTGCTGATCGATGGGACGAGAAGCGGGAGAAAAATTAAAGCAGGCGAATGCAAACTTCACCAATAGCTCAACGAAAAGACAGACGGTGACCGCTGAGAGGCAGCGTCGGACCTGGGTAAGGGCGGGTTCCTGAGCCTGCCAGGCCTGGATTCAAACCTCGGCTGAGTGGCCTTGGACAGGTCATCAACAAACAGAGCCTTCGTTTATTCATTTGCAAACGGAGCCAAGGACCGGGCCTGCCCCGGGGTATGCCTGAGGCTTGGGTGAGCAGGCGCCGGGCTCGCAGGGGGCGCTCCTAACCCGTTCCCGGCAGCTCGACGCTGTGGATCTAGCCGGCTTCCAGCCCCCGCTCCAGCTCCTGCTCAGGTTCCTGCTACTGCCCCCGGCCCCGGGCCCCGCGCCCCGCCCACCCCGCCTCTCGGCCCTGCCCCCTCCCGCTGCTCCGCGGCGTAGCCCGCACGGTGAGCCCGGCGGGGGTCCGGGGGTCCGCGGTCAGCCCCGGAGGACAGGGTGGGGTCGCCCCAAACAGGAGCGCCGGAAGCGCTGGAACCCCGCGCTCGGCGGCCGCCGCCGCCGGGTGGCCGGGCATTGGAGGTCCCGGATGAGGCGACAATTTTTCCGGCCCCCCTCCCAGTCCCGCCCCACTTCCGGGGCCGCCACTTTCACTTTCTCTTCCGCCGAAGCCGCTCCGCTTGCGAAGAACTGGGGCCTCCTGGGAGGAGAGAGGGCTTTGCGTTGAAACCCAGGACGCCAGGAGTGCTCCCGCAAGTGGGGGTCCTCCGGGACTTGGAACGCCCCGGCTGGGCGGTGTCCGGGCGTCCTTTCCCCGCTTCTCCCCACCTCGGCTGGTCCCGTTTCCTCTTGCGCCCAGTGCGGACTTGTCTCGGCGCCAGCTGCCCTCTCACCGCCCCACTCGGGATTCTGGCCTGGTCACCAGGCAGTGTGATGCTTCCCGATTGCCGCGGGGACAGCGAGGCACAGACAGAACTTGGGCCGCGCCGGAGGCCACACGGCCTGGCTGAGTTGCTCCTGGTCTCCCGCCTCTCCCAGGCGACCCGGAGGTAGCATTTCCCAGGAGGCACGGTCCCCCGCAGGGGGATGGGCGCAGCCACGCCAGATGGACGAGAAGACCAAGAAAGGTGGGCAGAGGCTGGAGGTGGCTGGGGAACTTCCGGTGGGAAGTGGGCCCCGCAGGACCTGGCCTTGCCTGCCTGGAAGGACCTTGGAGAGGGGGCTTTAGCCTGCCCTCCCTCTGCCCCCCTCCCCATCAGTTTCCTCCTTTAGTACCTGCTGGCTTCCAGAGCCATCTTGGGGCCCTGAGAACTCCTTGGGCCGGCTCTGTGCTGAGATGGGGCTTGGGGACTCGCAGAGGACACAGGGCATTGAACTTGGAGACCTCCTGGGCTGGTGGGATACAGACCTCAGTTGACCTGAGTAGCAGGGGTCCTTGCCTTTTCTCTTGCCCCCTGCACCTAGGGTTGTAGAACAGAAGTCAGTCACTGCCTTGCTGGAAACCTTCCCGTGCGCCTCTGTGTTCTACAAACAAAACCCAGAGCCCCTGGGTGGCCCACAGGACATCTCTCCTCAGTCACCCCGCCATGCTCACTCTACTGGAGCCCCACTGGCTTCTTTCGGTTCTCATCCAACCATTTCTTGGCCAAGGCCCTTACTCTTCCTTCCACCTGGACCACTCTTCCCCACTGGGGCTTGACACGTGCAGCTTCTCCTCCTTCAGGTCTCACCTTCAGTGTTACTCCCTCCCAGAAGCCTCCCCTGGTCTCCTTAACCTGTTTATTTTCCTGCCAGCAAGGATCACAATCTGACTTTTTTTTTTTTTCTTGTTAAACTTGTTCATTGTCTCCCCACTGGGCAGGGAGATCCATAAGGAGAGGGACCCTGTTTATAAATCTCTGTGGGATTCCAGTTCCTGGGACAGTGGGTGGCACACAGTAGAAGCTCAATAACTGCTTATTGGATAAATGAATAGAAGTATGAGGGACCCTGGGAATATGAAGGACAAACAGAACCAAATGAGCCTAGAGTGAGGAGGAGTGGGGAATATCAAAGAATCCCTCCCAGAGAAAGGGACTTTTAGTCTGGGTGCTGAAGGATATGTAGGAGTTCACCAGGAAGACAGAGAAAGCAGCACACACAAAGGATCATCTCCTTTCCTACCCCATTACGCCCACCTCCTGAAAATAAAACCCTGTGCTAACTGGCTCCTGCTGTACTGGCTTTCAGCAGAGGAAATGGCCCTGAGCCTCACCCGAGCAGTGGCGGGCGGGGATGAACAGGTGGCAATGAAGTGTGCCATCTGGCTGGCAGAGCAACGGGTGCCCCTGAGTGTGCAACTGAAGCCTGAGGTCTCCCCAACGCAGGACATCAGGTGAGGAGTGCATGGTTGGCCTGAACCCTAGGGACAGCAGGACAGGACATTCTTGCCTGTAAAACAGTTCTTCCTAATGGCAGGTTCTGGCTTCAGGAGGCCTGGCTTCTAACCCTAGTTATGTCATTAATCAACTGTGAAATATAGGACAGGTCACTTCACCTCTCAGTGTGTCCTCATGTTAAAAATCAGACCATAACATAGGGTTGTTAGGAGGTGTACTGTATTAGGATGACCGTAACAGTAGCTATCTCATAGGGTTGTTAGGAGGTGTACTGTATGTTAGTCCTTACACAACAGAAGAAAACAGAACAGTGATGTAAACAAATTTATGGCAGGGAGTCCAGATAGGGGGGTTCTGCTCCCCACAGTCCTCAGAGGCTCATGTTGCTTCTCTCACTCTTCTGCCCTTCATTCCCAGATTCCTCATGGTGCAAAATGGCCATTCCAACTCCATCCAGCCATCACATCACAGGAGGAAGGGAAGAAAGGCACCCCTCCACATTCCTCTAAAGAGCATAGCTCAAAAGTTGTACACACTTCTTCCATTAATTCCTATGGACCAGAACTGATTTGTACAGCTACAGTTCAACTTGAGGGAAGACTGTATAGTCAGGATATTCAACTAGAATTCAGGGGTTTGCTTGGTAAGGGAAGGGAAGAGAATGGATACTGTCAGTCTCTGCTCCAGGAGACTTAAACTCAATGCTGAAACACTTTGCACAGTGCCTGGCGTGTGTTATGCACTCAATAAACATTAGTGTCTATGGTTCTTTTTTGACTGCTTTTTCATTACTGGATAGTAAGGCAATAGTTCTATGGTTTCTGATTTTCAGTTTTCATGGTAGGTCCCATTTGATTTTTCTAAAAACAGTTTTATTTATTTATCCATACAGTTCAACCGTTTAAAGTATACAGTTCAATGGGTTTTAGTATATTCAAGTTTGTGCAACCATTACCACAATCAATTTTAGAACATTTTCATCATCCTGGAAAGAAATCTGGTACTCATTAGCAGTCAGTCTCCATCTCTCTACCTTTTCCCTAACTCCCCAACCTTAGGCAACCACTAATCCACTTTTTATCTCTAGGGATCTCCCTTCTCTGGAAATTTCATATAAGTTGAATCATACAACATGTGGCCTTTTGTGTCTGGCTTCTTTCACTTAGGATCATGTTTTCTAGATTCATCCATGTTGTAGCATGTATAACAACTTCATTCCCCTTTTTTTGACATGAGGTCTCACTCTGTTGTCCAAGTTGAAGTGCAGTGGTGCCATCATCTCTCACTACAGCCTCAACTTCCTGGGTTCAAGCAGTCCTCCTGCCTTGGCCTCCCAGGTAGCTGAGACTACTGGCGTGTACCATCACACCCAGCTAATTTTTTAAGAATTTGTAGAGATAAGGTCTTGCTGTGTTGCCTAGGCTGGTCTTGAACTTCTGGCCCAAGCAGTCTTCCCACCTCAGCCTCTCAAAGTGCTAGGATTACAGGTGTGAGCCACCATGCCCAGCCAGAACCTTATTCCTTTTTATTGCCAAATAATAATCTATTGTATGGACATACCTCATTATCATTACTGATTAAATCAGTTGATGGACATTTGGGTGTTTCTGTTTTTTGGCTATTATAAACAATGCCGCCATGAACATTTGTGTCCAGCTTTTTGTGTGGACATGTTTTCATTTCTCTTGGGTACATACTAGGAGTGGAATTGCTGGATCATACAGTAACTCTATGTTTAACCTTTTAAAGAAATGCCAGACAGTTTTCCAAAGTGGCTACACCGTTTTACATTCCCACCAGCATATATGAGGGTTCTAGTTTCTCCACATCCTCTCTAACACTTGTTATTTATCTATTTTATTATAGTCATCCTAGTAAATTTGAAGAGGTATCTCGTTGTGGTTTTGATTTGCAATTTCCTAACCATTTGATGACAAATGATGTTGAGCATCTTCATGTGCTTATTTGCCATTTGCATATTTTCTTTGGAGGTTTGCCTATTCAAGTCTTTTGCCCATTTTAAAATTAGATTTATCTTTTTTTTTTTTTTTTTTTGAGATGGAGTCTCACTGTATTGCCCAGGCAGGAGTGCAATGGTGCGATCTCAGCTCACTGAACCTCCACCTCCCAGGTTCAAATGATTCTCCTGCCCCAGCCTCCTGAGTAGCTGGACTACAGGTGCCCACCACCACACCAGCTAATTTTTGTATTTTTAGTAGAGAGGGAGTCTCACTGTGTTGGCCAGGCTGGCCTTGAACTCCTGAAGCCTCAGATGATCCACCCACCTTGGCCTCCCAAAGTGCTGGGATTACAGGCATGAGCCACCACACCCAGCTGGGTTTATGTTTTTATTATTGAGTTGTAGGAATACTTTATTCATCTGAGATAGAAGTGCCTTATCAGCTGCATGATTTGCAAAAATTCTCTCTCATTCTGTGAGTTGTCTTCTCACTTTGTTGATGGTGTCCTTTGAAGCACAAAAGTTTTAAATTTAGATGATGTCCAGGTCGTCTATGTTTTATTTTGTTGTTTGTGCTTTTGGTGTCACATCTAAGAAATCACGGCCTCATCCAAGGTAATGAAGATTTACCTCTATATTTTCTCCTAAATATTTTATGGTTTCAGCTCTTACATTTAGGTCTCTGGTCCATTTTGATTTAATTTTTATATATGGTGTGAGGTAAGGGTCCAACTTCATTCTTTTGCATGTGGATATTGAGTTGTGCCGGCACTATTTGTTAAAAAGACTATTTTCCCGTGTTTAATCATCTTAACCCTTTTTGAAAATTAATTGACCATAAATATGAGTGCTTATTTCTGGACTCTGATTTCTATACCATTGAACTATAATATACATCTGCCCTTATGCCAGTACCACACTGTTCTGATTACTGTAACTTCATAGTATTTGAAATCAGGAAATGGAAGTTCTCCAGCTTTTGTTCTTTTTCAATATTGTTTTGGTTATTGCAAGTCTCGAATTTCCATATAAATTTTAGGATCAGCTTGTCTGGTTCTGCAAAAAAGAAAAAAAAAATGGGATTTTGGTAGGGATTTCATTGAATCTGTAGATCATTGGCCACTTGATTTTAAACAAAATATTGGTATATCTACTTCTTGAAATGGTTGATTGAGACAGTACCTGTGTACTCCTTGCTGTGAAAAATGAGGAAGTTAACATACTCATCTTCCACCTTTGCTTTTCATGACTTTTTTTGTTGAAGTATCATTGTGGACATTTTCCCAGTTGACTTCCACTTGATCCCCTGAATTAACTAACTGGCACTGGCGTTTCCTCTGTAAAATGTACAGTGTCAGCCACCATCTTGCTATTAAAGTGTGGCCCCTGGACCACATCATGGGGGGAATCTCAGGTCCTACCTCAGACTTGCTGGATCAGAACCTGAGTTTTGAGAGGCTGTGGGCAACCAGCACCTCTCAGACCTGCTGTTGGGTTCTCATCGATGGACCCTATGCTTCCTAGCAAATGATACCTGTTGTATGTGTTATTGGTAATAACATAGTTTACTTAGCTGTTACATTAATTAATAAAACATGAGCACTGAAAGAGTTGTTTCTGTGAAAATAAGCTGATTGCTTTAAAAAGACGAGACAAATCACACAGACACATACACACACACACACACACACACACACACACACACAGATTAACACTTTTGGGTGAGACAGTAGTAAGGAAATACAGTAAAAATCCAGAAGGGCTCTGTGCTCTGATGCTTCAGGAGTGTGTCTAAGTTCTTGCTCACTTTAAAGAAGCCGCTACTAGAAATATATAGATCATGATTATGGATGTGATTCATACAAAAAAAAAAGAAAAATCTATGGGAAACTCCAGTCAGCAGGTATAAACTCATGCTGGGCATGGCGGCTCAGCACTTTGGGAGGCTCAGGCAGGAGAATGACTTGAGCTCAGGAGTTTAAGACCAGCCTGGGCAACATAGTGAGAACTTGTCTCTACAAAAAATGAAAAAATTAGCCAGGTTGGGTGGCACACACCTGTAGTCCCAGCTACTTGAGAGGCTGAGGCCAGAGGATTATTAGATCTCAGGTGGTTGAGGTTGCAGTGAGCCATGATCATGCCTGAGTAACAAGGTGAAACCCTGTCTCAAAGAAAGAAAGAGAGAAAAGCCGTTGGCTGTACACCTAGAGACTGGCCAGTGAATGTGCATTCATAGCATGTAAGTTAAAATTAAGTGTTTAAGCTTTGACTGCAGCTGTTTTTGTGATTCTCTGCTGTTCACCAGCGATCTTGATGTGACATTGAATGAGAGAGCTCCAGCTGTATTTTTTTGTTGATAGTGTTAAGATTATAGCTTTTAAAAATTTTGTTTTCTAACATAATTAAGGCTTTTATGCTTTGCCTCTAGGTTGATTCTAAAAGTGCAATACTACTAGAAAGGATTTATAGTATTTTGATTATGGAAATATTATTCACTATAGAATAACTAGCGCAGTCGAAACCATATGCACTTTTATGTTTCAAAACCCTTACTGCTGGAAGAACATTTTGGGGTTAAGATCCAGTCCTTTTCATGTTTTACTTTTCTTCTATTCTCCTGTATGAGACTCATCTATTTTTGTTTTTCAAGAACTTTTCATGTGGAAAATGTGGTAAATTTTTAGTTTTTGCATGTTTAAAAATTTCTAGGCCGGGCGCGGTAGCTCACGCCTGTAATCTCAGCACTTTGGGAGGCCGAGGCGGGCGGATCACGAGGTCAGGAGATCGAGACCATCCTGGCTAACATGGTGAAACCCCGTCTCTAAAAATACAAAAAATTAGCTGGGCGCGGTGGCGGGCGCCTGTAGTCCCAGCTACTGGGGAGGCTGAGGCAGGAGAATGGCGTGAACCCGGGAGGCAGAGCTTGCAGTGAGTGGAGATCGCGCCACTGCACTCCAACCTGGGCGACAGAGCGAGACTCCTCAAAAAAAAAAAATTCTGTATTTTGCTCTCTCAATTCATTGACAGTCGACTGGGTATTCAAATTGTTTACCTGAAGAATTTTAAGAACATTTTCTGGACTACTTTTAAACAAATTTCAGATATTATTTTATCCTTAAATCTTTAGTATGTGTCTTCAAAAAATTAGGACTTGGCCGGGCACGGTGGATCATGCTTGTAATCCTAGCACTTTGGGAGGCTGAGGCAGGTGGATTGCTTGAATCCAGGAGTTCAGAACCAGCCTGGGCAACATAGTGAAACCTTATGTCTACAAAATATTAGCTGGACATGGTGGTGCGCCCCTCTAGTCCCAGCTACCCGGGAGGCTGAGGTGGGAGGGTCACTGCAGTCCAGGAGATTGAAGCTGCAGTGAGCCAAGATCATGCCACTACACTCCAGCCTGGGTGACAGAAGCGAAACCCTGTCTGAAAAAATAACAAAAACAAACAAAAAACCCTCAATACTATTATCACACCTTAGAAAAGGAATAAGAATTCCTTAAAATCCCCTAATGCACTGTTTATATTCAAATTTTCCTATTTCATTAGTGCTTTTTACAGTTTGTTTTCTTCAAATCAAGAGCCAAACAAGATCTACACATAGCATTTCTTAATATGTCTTAAGTCTCTTTTATTCTTCTCTATTTTTATGCCACTAGTTTTTTTTAAGAAACCTGGTCTTTTGACCTCTAGAATTTTCCCCATATTCTGGATCTATCCATTACCTCTTCATGGTATGTATTAGGCCACTCTAGCATTGTTACAAAGAAATATCTGAGACTGGGTAATTTACAAAGAAAAGAGATTTGGCGGGGCGCGGTGGCTCACACCTGTAATCCCAGCAGTTTGGGAGGCCAAGGTGGGCGGATCATGAGGTCAGGAGATGGAGACCATCCTGGCTAACACGGTGAAACCCGTCTCTACAAAAAATACAAAAAATTAGCCAGGCGTGGCGGCGGGCGCCTGTAGTCCTAGCCACTGGGGAGGCTGAGGCGGGAGAATGGCGTGAACCTGGGAAGTGGAGTTTGCAGTGAGCCAAGATTGCGCCACTGCACTCCAGCCTGGGCGACAGAGCAAAACTCCGTCTCAGAAAAAAAAAAAAAGAAGGAAAAGAGGTTTAATTGACTCAGTTCTGCAGGTTGCATAGGAAGCATGGTCCTGACATTTGCTTGGCTTTTGGGGAGGCCTCAGTGAGCTTTTACTGAAGCAGGAGCAGGCACTTCACATGGTGAGAGAGGGAGAAAGAGAAAGAGTTGCAGGGGAGGTGCCACACTTTACGAAAGCCAGATCTCACGAGGACTCACTGTGGCGAGAAGTCACTACGGTGAGAGCGGCTCCAGGCTGTGAGGGAGCTGTGCCTATGACCCAAACATCTCCCACCAGGCCTCACCTTCAACACTAAGGATTACAGTTCAAGATAAGATTTGGGCGGGGACAAATACCCAGACTGTCATGGTGTCATTTACTATCTCCCATTTTTCCCGTAACTGGTAGTTAGAGATAAAGGTTCAGGTAGTCCAGCAGTCACTTTTTTTTTTTCCTTTTTTTTTTTTTTAAGACAGAGTTTCACTCTGTCGCCCAGGCTAGAGTGCAGTGGTGCAATCTTGGCTCACTGCAACCTCCGCCTCCCAGGTTCATGCCATTCTCCTGCCTCAGTCTCCCGAGTAGCTGGGACTACAGGCGCCCACCACAGCACCCAGCTAATTTTTTTTTTTTTTTGTATTTTCAGTAGAAACAGGGTTTCACTGTGTTAACCAGGATGGTCTTGATCTCCTGACCTTGTGATCCACCCACCTCAGCCTCCCAAAGTGCTGGGATTCAGCAGTCACTTTTAATGTGCAGGGCTCTTTCTCATTTTTTGGTTACTTCATGCCTTTTCTTGCTTTCTGAATGCAATGTTTTCCCAAATCTCTCTGAAGGTACTACTTAGACTTCACTGTTGCTTATTGTTCTATACCCTAAATGATCTCTGTTTGCTTTGGAGTCAGTTCTGCTTTTTCATCTTCTCATGCTTTTGATTTTTCAAAAATGTTGGAGGATCCTCGAGAAAGTTAAAACCACTTTCTCTGGAATAATACCATGTGGATTTAAATCCTGCCTCTGGCTGAACACAGTGGCTTACTCCTGTAATCCCACTTCAGGACGCCAAGGCAGGAGGATCACTTGAGGCCAAGAGTTCAAGACCAGCTTTGGCAACACAGTGACACCCTGTCTCTACAAAAACTTAAAAAATTAGCCATGGGGTCATGAGCCTGTGGTCCCAGCTACTTAGGAGGCTGAGATGGGAAGATCCCTTGAGCCCAGGAGGTTGACGCTGCAGTGAGCCAAGGTAGCACTACTGCACTCCAGCCTGGGCCACAGAAAGAGAGCCTGTGCCTTAAACGTAAATCAATACATACAAATGCATCCTGCCTCTAACAGTTATTAGTTGCTTAGTTTGGCAGAGTCACTGTAACCTATCTGTGCCTCACATTTTTATCTGTAAAACAGGGATACAGCAGTACCTGCCTGATGGGTTCATTGAGAGGATTAAATGAGTTAATACACATTCAGTGCATTGAATAGTCTTAGCATATAGTAAACAACAACTTTTGGTGGTTTGACTAAGGAGCAGGGGAGAGAAGATAGAAGAGGTTGGAGAGGTCAGGGAGGCGCCAGATCATGGAGGCCCTCGTGTGCTGCCATGAGTTGATTCTAAGAGTAGCATGGAGCCATTGGAGGGGCCTAACTTTGGGTTCTAATAAAGGAGGAAGCATGGGTGGGGGCCTACCCCAGACTGGGGGTTGTGTGTGTGTATGTGCATGGCCATGCGCCTGTGTGCAAATACATACATGTCTGTAGCCGGTGGCTGAGGCTGGACCCCTGGCCAGAGCCCATGCTGAGCCCCTGCTGTTCTCTGCAGGCTGTGGGTGAGCGTGGAGGATGCTCAGATGCACACTGTCACCATCTGGCTCACAGTGCGCCCTGATATGACAGTGGCATCCCTCAAAGACATGGTGAGTGAGGAGGCTGAGGGCGACACTGGGGTGGAGGCTCTCCCTTTCGCTCCTGCTTCCTCTCTCTCCTCTGGCCCTGCCTTCTCACTCTCTCTCTCGGTGCCCCCACCAGGTTTTTCTGGACTATGGCTTCCCACCAGTCTTGCAGCAGTGGGTGATTGGGCAGCGGCTGGCACGAGACCAGGAGACCCTGCACTCCCATGGGGTGCGGCAGAATGGGGACAGTGCCTACCTCTATCTGCTATCAGCCCGCAACACCTCCCTCAACCCTCAGGAGCTGCAGCGGGAGCGGCAGCTGCGGATGCTGGAAGGTGAGGCTCTGCCCCGAGCACCGTGGGACCCAGCAGGGGCCCTGGACTCACTTGAGAGTGTAGGGCAAGCAGGAGCAGAGCCCCTGGGTTTTTAGTCAGGGGCTCACCCAGAGGACCCTATCCAAGTGGGGAAGAGAGGACCTAAGACACATGGGAGGGAGCATTTCAGGGACCCATCATGACAACAGCTGGCATGGGGACCGGTGGATTCCATCCAGGCTCTGGCATTCCCAGCTGTGTGACCTTGGGCAAGGTTAGTCCCATCTGCTGCCTAGTTTGCTAAAATCATAAACTGGGTATGACGGTGATGATAACCAGTGTTTATTCTTAATTTTTAACTTGTGAAATGTTTCAGACCTACAGAAAAGTTGCCAAATTTTACAAAGTAGTATATAAAGAATTCCCGTGTGCCTTTCATGTGGGTTTTACCATATTTGCTTTCTTTTATCATTCTCTTTCTATATAAAATTATTTTATTTTCTGAACCATTTTGAGAGTAAGTTGCAGCCATGATGTCTCTTTCCCCTAAATAATTCAGTGTGCATTCCCTTGAAAAGAAAGGTCATTTTCTTGTATTACTAGGCATAACAATCCAACTCAGGAAACTAACACTGATACAGTACTGGTATCTAATCTACAGATCTTACTCAGATTTTACCAGTTGTCCCACTATTATCATTTATAGCAAAGACTTGGCATTCAACTGTCATGTCTCAATCCCTTTCAAAGAGTCTAGGCCAGTTTCTTTTTTGTGGCGGGGGTAGGGGCTGATGTTTCCTGGGGAATGGAGTGAACCACTGTTTTGGCAGGACCGCCTCAGCGGTGCTCTTGTGTCCCACTTGGTGAATCCTTCAGGAGGCACAGAAAGGCAGGTGTTATGGTAGATTTTGAAGCTCAGAGGACATAGGAGCATTTGCGGGTGGAATAGGGACCCTGACCCTGGAGGAGCCAGGATGCCCATTTGGCCAGATGGAAGCTGGAGATGCCCCCAGGGAGGAGGGAGAGGATAGGGGGAGGGTCTGCCTGGCTGGCTCAGGGAGACCCACCCCCATGGGTGTGGACCAAGCGGGCCACGTGGAACCACCACCCCTTAACCCTTCTCCACAGATCTGGGCTTCAAGGACCTCACGCTGCAGCCACGGGGCCCTCTGGAACCAGGTCCCCCAAAGCCCAGGGTCCCCCAGGAACCCGGACGGGGGCAGCCAGATGCAGTGCCCGAGCCCCCACCGGTAAGCTGTCCCTGACCACACTTCCCTGGCCTCAGTATCCTCTTCTGTGCCCCTCCCTTGCCCCACCCTGTCCAGTTCAGCTCACAGCCCGCTTTGCTCCCAGGTGGGCTGGCAGTGCCCCGGGTGCACCTTCATCAACAAGCCCACGCGGCCTGGCTGTGAGATGTGCTGCCGGGCACGCCCCGAGGCCTACCAGGTCCCTGCCTCATACCAGCCCGACGAGGAGGAGCGAGCGCGCCTGGCGGGCGAGGAGGAGGCGCTGCGTCAGTACCAGCAGGTGGGTGCGGAAGTCCCTGGACAGACACCTGCAGACCGCACGGGGGAGGTGTAGGCCAGGAAGGGAGACACCTGTGCATTGCCGCTCCTCCCCATTACTGCCTTGCCCCTCCCAACCACGCTGCTGGCAGTGACCCTGCACCTGGCTGTGACCTGCCCTCTCTCAAAGGTCACCCTGTGGCTGAGACCCACTCCCTGGCTGTGACGCACATCCAGATTCACATGCCTCACTCCCACGTGAGCTGTGGCTCCATCCCTAGCTTTGACACACCACACAAGTATGGCTGGCTATGACCCCAGCATCCTAGCCATGACCACACCTCAGCTCGGACCTCACCCTCACCTGCCTGTGACCTAATCCTACTCCACCTCCCCGTGACCTCACCCTGGACTCTCCTACTCCTGACCTCATCCCTCTCGGGCTTGGCCCACCCTTGACTTCCTGAGAGCCTGGCCTGGCCCCTCACTGCTCCCTAGGGGGATGACCCCCAACCCTGGTCTTGCGCCTTAGCCCTCCCCCACCCCCATCATGACACACACACTAATGACACAGACACTGACCCCCGAGTGCTCCCCATTCTGATCTCACCCCTGGCCCACCTGCATTCCCCTTGGACCCGGTGCTACCCCTGGCCAGCCCACTCCTGTTCTCGTCTCAGCCTTGCTCTGCTCTCCGGCTTTGTCACTTCCTCACCCCTGACCTTGAACTGGCTCCACCAGCCCTGGCCCAGGCCCTGCCCTGCTACCTGACTCACCACTCAGACCCTGGCCCCCTTCCTTTCCCTGCTGCCACTGCTCCCTCTCCTGATGCCTTCCCTGGCTACCTGGCCGGCCTCCCCTCCCTTGGCTTCCCCATGGTCCGCCTGGCCTCTCTCCCAGCCCCGCCCCTCCCAACCTTCCTGCTCCTGAGCACCCCTGCCCACCCCCATCCCGGATCCCCGATCCCCGATCCCGACTGGCTCCCAGCTTTGCCTCTTGCTGGTCTGACCCAGCCCTGACCACGCCCTCCGGTCCTTCCCCCTTCGTGGTCTGACCCGCCCCCGAGGCCCTGACCCACCCCGTGGCCCCGCCCCGTGTGCCCAGCGGAAGCAGCAGCAGCAGGAGGGGAACTACCTGCAGCACGTCCAGCTGGACCAGAGGAGCCTGGTGCTGAACACCGAGCCCGCCGAGTGCCCCGTGTGCTACTCGGTGCTGGCGCCCGGCGAGGCCGTGGTGCTGCGTGAGTGTCTGCACACCTTCTGCAGGTGCGGCCCCCAATCCCACCCCCGGCAATGCAGCTTTATTAAAGTCGCCAGTTACGCAGGGCTGGACGTGGGTGGGGCCCTGTGCTCTGATACCTCATTGGACGCCCGCGAAAACCTACGAGGTAGGCTCCGTCTCCCCATTTTGCAGATGAGGAACCTGAGGTGCAGAGAGGCCAAGCAGCTTACCCAAGGCCACATGGCTCGTGAGAGAAGCAGCCTAGACATGAACGTAGGCATGGGTGGAGACTCCAGAGCCTCCCTTCCCCTCTACCTTTCACCGCCCAGGCTCCTGCAGCCACGCTGCTCTGAGCCTCGCTGTGGGCATCTGCCAGTTTCTGAGTCTCCTGTCATGGCCCTTCCACCCCTGAATGTGGGGAACACAGACCCACTCACCACAGCAGACCCTTGTGGAGCAGTGCCTGGGTGACAGGCTCCATGCCTGCCTCCTGGAGCTTACATTCCAGCAGAGAGGCTGATGTGAATTGGATAATCACTGGTTGATGTCCTTGTGAATTATGTCAAATGCTACATACAGTACGTTAAGAGACAACAGGAGTCCTTCCTGGAAAGGGTGGTCTGGAAGCTTCCAAGGAGGTAGCTCCAGAGCAGGGACTGGAAGGCCTGCTGTAGGTGTGGGCCTGGCGTGTTGGAGGAGGCTGAGGAGGTCTCTTGGTGGCTGGAGCAGAGGGATGAAGGGGGTAATCAAAGAGCAGGATAGAGACGTGTTGGGTCTGTGAGCAGCGACGAGGAGTTGGGATTTGTTCTGGGTGGGATGGGGGTCACTGGGGAGGCATGGCTGCTATTCTGAGATAGACTTTAGGGGCCAGATGGATGCAGGGAGCCCAGTGAGGAGGCTCCTGAAGTCACCCAGGCGGGGGATGTGGGGCCTGGACCAGAGAATCGGAGCGGCCATATGGAGACAGGATTGGAGGCCTTGGTGATGGGTTGGTGAGAGGGATGGGAAGGAAGGGGATATTGAGGAGAAGCCCACCTGGGGTGACTGAGTGAGGCCCCTGGGGTCAGGCCTTGCCATGTGAGGGGTGGAGTCCCCAGTGGATGGGGTTCCTGTGATCCTAACTCTTCTCCCCTCCCCTCCCCTAGGGAGTGCCTGCAGGGCACCATCCGCAACAGCCAGGAGGCAGAGGTCTCCTGCCCCTTCATTGACAACACCTACTCGTGCTCGGGCAAGCTGCTGGAGAGGGAGATCAAGGCGGTAAGGCCTCGGGGTGGGAGACATACCCCAGTCCTAAGGAACTGGGCCCGGAGCAGGCAGGTAGGGACTGGCTCAGGCAGCAGGCATCTTTTCTTTCTTTTTCTTTTCTTTTCTTTTTTTTTTTTTGGGAGATGGGGGTCTCCCTATGTGATCCGAGCTGGTCTCAAACTCCTGGGCTTAAGTGATCATCCATCCTCGGCCCCCCAGACATTTTTCAAGAGATTTGTCTATGTGGGGTGCTGAGACCCCAAGCAGAGAAAGAATTGAGGGGAGTAGCTAGTCAAGAAACCACATCTATGAAGGAAAGACAGCAGAGTTGTTAAGAGTCAGGGACTCGGCTGGGCGTGGCAGCTCACACCTGTAATCCCAGCACTTTGGGAGGCCAAGGTGGGCAGATTGCTTGAACCCATGAGCTCCAGACCAGCCTGGGCAACATGGCAAAACCCTGTCTCTCCAAAAAATAGCCAGTCGCAGGGGCATGCGCCTGTAGTCCTAGCTACTCGGGTGGGGGTCAGGAGTGAGTGGGCTGAGGTGGGAGGATTGCTTGAGCCTGGGAGGTCAGGGTTACGGTGAGCTGTGATTGTGCCACTACACTCCAGCCTGGGCAACAGAGTGAGACCTTGCCTCAAAAAAAGAAAAAAAAATAGTCAGGGAACTCTGGAGCCTGGTGGCCTGGGTGTGTGACCACAAGTCAGATATTTAACCTCTCTATGCCTCTATCTCATCTCTGTTAGAGTCAGAGTTACAGCTTCTATTTCCAGGATTGCAAAGATTATGGCAGAGCATATGTGTATAGAATTTAGAGTAGTGCGGCCAGGCACAGTGGCTCATTCCTGTAATCCCAGTGCTTTGGGAGGCCGAGGTGGGTAGATCACCTGAGGTCGGGAATTCGAGACCAGCCTGACTAACATGGAGAAACCCCATCTCTACTAAAAATACAAAATTAGCTGGGTATGGTGGCACATGCCTGTAATCCCAGCTGCTCCAGAGGCTGAGGCAGGGGAGTCGCTTGATCCCAGGAGGTGGAGGTTGCAGTGAGCCGAGATTGCGCCATTGCACTCCAGCCTGGGCAACCAGAGCGAAACTCCGTCTCAAAAACTATATCTATATTTAGAGTAGTGCTTGTCACATGGTAAGCCTTTGTTGTTGTTAGCACTTACTGTGTAACAAATCACTGCAGGCTCAAAACAACAGTCATTTATTTAGCTCATAAATCTGCAAGTTGAGTTGGCCGTCTGTATCTGTGGGTACCACACTGGAGAATTCAACAACGGTGGATAGAATATATTCTTAAGAAAACAAAAAAATTACAATAAAAACAAAATTTAAGAAACAATACAGCATGAACTGTTTATATAACATTTATGTTATATTAGATATTATAAGTAATCTACAGGTGATTTAAAGTGTATGGGAGGATGTTGGTAGGTTGTATGCAAATACTATGCCGTTTTATATAAAGAGTTTGAGCATCCCTGGATTTGGGTATCTGCAGGGATCTTGGAACCAATTCTCTCTGGATACCGAGGGATGACTATAATTTGGGTCGGACTTATCCGGATGGTTCTTCTGATCTGGGCAGGGCCTCGCTGATTTCACCTGGGCCTCGCTGGTGGGTCAGCTGTTTGTTTGTTTAATTTTTATTTTTTATTTTTGAGGGTACATAGTTGGTGTATACATTTCTGGGGTACATGAAATACTTTGATACAGGCATGCAGTGCGTAATAATCACATCATGGAGAATGGGGAAGCCATCCCCTCAAGCATTTATCCTTTGTGTTATGGACAGTCCAGTTATGCTTTCTTAGTTATTATAAAATGTACAATTAAATTATTGACTATAGTCTGTCTGTTGTGCTATCAAATACCAGTTCTTATTCTATTTTTTTGTACCAATTTACCATCCCCACTCCCTTCCCACACCACACTACCCTTCGCTGCTTCTGGTAACCATCCTTTTACTCTCTGTCTTCGATAGTTCAGTTGTTTTGATTTTTAGCACCTGCAAATAAGTAGAACATGTAATGTTTGTCTATCTGTGCCTGGCTTATTTCATTTAACATAATGACCTCCAGTTCCTCCATGTTGCTGTAAACGACAGAACTGCATTCTTTTTTTATGGCCGAGTAGTACTCCATTGTGTATATATACCACATTTTCTTTATAGGATACTAGTTTAATCATGTCTTTCCCCACATTGCTTATTATTTATGTTCTTTTCTTTATTGTGAGAAAATAGACATAACATTTACCATTTTAACCATTTTTTAAGTGTACCGTTCAGTGGCATTAAGTACATTCACACTGTTGTGCAACCATTACCACCATCCACCACCAAAACTTTTAGAAATTCCCCCCACTTTCTTTTTACTTTTCTTTTCCTTTTTTTTTTTTTTTCAGCTAGGATTTCATTCTGTCACCCAGGTTGGAGTGCAGTGCATCAGTCATGGCTCACTGCAGTCTTGACCTTCTGGGCTCAAGCAGTCCTCACAACCCAGCCTCCCAAGTAGCTGGGACTACAGGTGTGAGCACCACACCTGCTTTTTTTTTTTTTTTTTTTTTTAAATTTTTTTGTAGAGATGAGGTCTCACTGTATTTCTCAGGCTGATCTTAAACTCTTGGCCTCAAAGAATCCTCCTGCCTTGATTGACCTCCCAAAGTGCTGGGATTACAGGTATAAGCCACCACGCCTGGCCTAAAATCCACTTTTTGAATGGAGTTTTTCAACACTATGAGGATCACATGAAGGAAAAAGCCTGGCCTGGGTTGGAGTTTATGGGCTGGGGGCTTTCTGGAAGGTATGTGGTGGTCAAGGGTCATATGTCAGGTGTTCTGAATCCTGAGCAACAAGGACGTGGTCTGTTGGCAGCTCCTGACCCCTGAGGATTACCAGCGATTTCTAGACCTGGGCATCTCCATTGCTGAAAACCGCAGTGCCTTCAGCTACCATTGCAAGACCCCAGATTGCAAGGGATGGTGCTTCTTTGAGGATGATGTCAACGAGTTCACCTGCCCTGTGTGTTTCCATGTCAACTGCCTGCTCTGCAAGGTGGGGCCAGGGACTCACCCCACCTAGTCACTGTCATCTTGCCTGGAGCTTACCACGCTGCAGTGCGTGTTCTCCTGGGAAGGGAGCTGTGACCCTGGCCTGCTAGTCATGACTTAGAGCTGCATGTCGGTGGGAGAGTGTGGCTCGAGCCTGAACCAAGCCCTGGTCCCACAGATGGGGTCCCAGACCCGGCCCCAGATGGAGCCTCCAACCTAGGCAGCCCTGGTCCACAATGGAGCCCTGACCCGGGACCAGTCAACCCCAGTCACAGACTGAATCCCAGTCCCACACTGAGCCCTGACCCCATCCAAGTCCATAGACTCGGCCTCTGACCAAACCTGACCCTGCACTTGTCACTTAAGGTGGTCCCATATTCAGCCCAGACCCTGAACTAAGCTCTGACCCTGGCTTCTGACTGAACCTGTCACAGACTAAGGCCCAACCCTGGCCCTATGCCACATCTCCGCCCCTGTCCTGAACTGAGTGCGGACCCCAAACCCAGACAGCCCTGCATGATCCTTCCCCCAGGCCTGTCCCTGCCCCTTCATCTCAAAAGTGGAAGGTGAGGAACCGGTAAACAGGTCTGGAGCCTGGTCTCACACTCAGCCTGAGCAAGCTCAGTCTGGGGTCATTGGGCCTGTAACCCTGGGCAGGGCCTTGGCAGGGATGCGGGGTCTCACCTTAGGGGTGTAAGGGATTTCCGTGCCCATCAGAACTTAAATAAGCTGGGTGTGGCAGCATGTGCTGGTAGCTTGTGCTACTCAGGAGGCTGAGGTATATTTTGCTGTTAGCATATGTGATGACCTTGACTTCACCTCCCTGGTGCCAGTATCCTCTTCTGTAAAATGGCTTATGCTTTACAAAGTGAGGTCCTGCCAGTGACTACACCTAGAGGCATTAAGTGCCTTTGTGGACTCCTGCCCTGCGCCTCACCTCTCCCAGCTTCTTAACCCCCTGAGGAACCTTCTCACCTTGAGTGCCTCACCTGCTGCAGGCCATCCACGAGCAGATGAACTGCAAGGAGTATCAGGAGGACCTGGCCCTGCGGGCTCAGAATGATGTGGCTGCCCGGCAGACGACAGAGATGCTGAAGGTGAGGCTGGGACAGGGCCGAGGCCTAGGGATTTTAAGTTCTGGGATCCAGGTGGGGGCTAGGGGCTTCTCAGCAAGGGCTGTGCTCACACATCCCTGGAGGCTCTGGTCTCCCTTCTGGCTGTCACTTCCATCCAGAGATGGGACTTAGGCCAAGCTGTCATGTTGGGAAGAGCGTCTGGGTGGAGGGTGGAGACCACAGGAATGAAGAGGGGCTTGCCGGACGGAGCCTGGCCTGGCGGAGCTGCACAGGAGAGACTCCACAGCACCAGAGGGTCTCTACCTTCTCCCTGCCATGGGGAGGAGCCAGGCTGGGTGACTGCCCCAGCCCCGCCCCAAGGCCAGCACCTGTCCCGCTCCAGGTGATGCTGCAGCAGGGCGAGGCCATGCGCTGCCCCCAGTGCCAGATCGTGGTACAGAAGAAGGACGGCTGCGACTGGATCCGCTGCACCGTCTGCCACACTGAGATCTGCTGGGTCACCAAGGGCCCACGCTGGGGCCCCGGGGTGAGTCTTCACTCGTGGTGGTGTGGAGAGGGTGCCCTTGTGGGTTTGCCTTAGAGGAGGGCTTGGAAAACTACAGCCCATGGGCCATATCCAACCCAGCACCTGACTTTGTACAGCTCCCGAGGTCAGAGTGTTGTTTCTTTTGAAACGGAGTTTCGCTCTTGTCGCCCAGGCTGGAGTGCAATAGCGCAGTCTCGGCTCACTGCAACCTCTGCCTCTCAGGTTCAAGCAATTCTCCTGCCGCAGCCTCCCAAGTAGATGGGATTACAGGCACCACCATGCCTGGCTGATTTTGTATTTTTAGTAGAGACAGGGTTTCTCCATGTTGGTCAGGCTGGTCTCAAATTCCTGACCGCAGGTGATCCGCCTGCCTCAGCCTCCCAAAATGCTGGGATTACAGGCGTGAGCCACCGTGCCCGGCCACAGGAATGTCCTTTACATCTTTAAATGGTTGAAAAAATACCAAAAGATGACTATCTTGTGACGTGAAAATTACATGAAATCCACATTTCAGTGTCCATAGGTAAAGTGCTTTGGAGCACAGCTGTGCTCGTTCATTTACATGTTGTCTGTGGTTGCTTTCACACTGCAGAGGCAGAGGCCATATGGCTGCCCAGCCCAAAATGACCGGCCCTTTATAGAAAAGGTTTGCCCACCCTTGCCCTAGAGGACAGCAAGTAAAGGTTCCATCTGGAGTCGGAGGTGGATTGGCCCCTGGCTCTGGCACATACCGACTGTGGGATTAGGCTGCCGCTCACCTCTCTCAGCCCCCTTTCCTCTGTGAAATGGAGATGATAGCTGGGCTTATCTCAGGCTTGTTGTCAGAATCAAGTGGAAAAATGGCAAGAGAAGTGCTTAGAGAGTCTGTCATTTGGTGAGCACTCTTGCAAATGGTAGCTGTCATTATTAGGGGTGTGCTCTGGAATTGGGAGCCTGTTGTAACGTTCAGGTAGACTTTCAGACAGGTAGAGGCAGAGGAACCTGCCCTCGTGCATGCTGCCAGTATGCTGACATGTCTAGAATATGCAGAGTGGTCAGATTCTCTCCCTGGCCTGTTCCTGGATCTAGGCTTGGGTAGACTGAGTGCTGTGGGAGCCCAGAAAAGGCCTCAGTGACTCTCCATCAGGCAGCTGAGGCCGACAAGGCCATTCTTGCAGGAGGGCCTGCAGAGGCAAAGGCCCAGGTGGGAGAGTGCTCGGCTGTGGGGGCAGTCTCTGCACTGCCCTGACATTCTCTTCTCTTCCTGTCATCTTCTAGGGCCCAGGAGACACCAGCGGGGGCTGCCGCTGCAGGGTGAATGGGATTCCTTGCCACCCAAGCTGTCAGAACTGCCACTGAGCAAATGGTGGGACCCCATGCTGACCCAGCCCCACATCCACATTCTGTTACGGGGCAGGGCTGGGCTTGGGGCTTTGGCTCCAACTTCTGGCTGGGAGATGCTTTTGTGCGGAGACCAAGTCCCTGAGCTTCGTGGACGGCCTTGCTTGCTGTAGCGTTGTAGGGGCCCTGCCTGCACTGCTGTTGTCCATGGTCACATCTGCCCCAGTGCATTTGTCCTTCCCTTGGGGCTTGCCAGCCAGACTTCTCTCCCCTGCAGCTCCCACCTCTGCCTGACCCCAGCCTTAAACACAGCCCCTGGCCAGAGGCCTTGCTGGGTGGAGCCTCTGTGTGACTCCATACTCCGCCCACCACAACACTCATCTTTCGAATACCAAGCACTCTCAGCCTCCCTGCCTTCCCCTGTCAGCTTTCCGGGGCTAACTGTTCTCTGCCTTTGTGGTTGGAGGCCCGGGGCGCTTAGAACTCTTGCTAACCTGTTCAGAGCCGGGAAGGAGACCGGGCAGTTTGAAAGCACAGCCCCTCAGGTCCAGTTCTGCGTCTCCCTCTCTGCAGCGTGTGTAAGCTATTATAATTAAAATGGTTTTCCGCGAAAGGATGAGTGTGATGTCCTTGAGAGGAAGTGAATGTCCTGGGCTGGGACTCTGCACACAGGCAGGATCCCGAGGTCTCTGGAAACTGCCTCAGAAAGTTGACTTGTCAGTCCATCGATGGTAGAATGAGGCTGTGACTGAGCACTGGGACCTTTCTACCAGACGTGGACCCCACGCCCAGCCTCGGGGACCAGGATGCGCTTGGGTCCCCGTCAGCCAGGACAGGCGGAGTGTGCAGTATGTGAAGTCTGCAGAGAAGGATGGGCTTAGGGGCGGGAGGGGAAGTCTTGCCACTCCTGCTCCCTTTTGACCTCTCAGCAGGCATCCAGGGTTGGCAGGTCGATAGTTCAAGAAGGAACCAAGCTGCTGCAGTTGAGGGGTGAGGTCCATCCTAATTTTCACATCTCAAGCAAGACGGCAAAGTATCGATTCAGCAGTATTGGTTAGCACCCACTCAGTGCTGGTCAGAGGTGACTAAGACATGGTCCTGGGATGCTCATTCTGTAAGTTTTTCCTCCATTCTGTGACCCACCCTCCTTCCCCTTTTGAGATCTGGTATTTATTGTCCACGCTGTGATGTGACCATCATCATAGCAGGTGGAGGGCGCCTCTTCTGTTGAAGGCCTGTGGTTTTGTGGGGAAGGGCCTGTTCTGGCCTCTGGAAAGGCACTGCCACCTGCTGTTGGATGCCAAGACTCAAGAGCTGGCCCCAGTCACTGTGCGCAGAGCTGTCCGAGAATGTGTGAGTGGACTGGGTCCTGCCGGCACTACCTGCATTGGCTCAGGGCAGTCGACCATCGCAGAGGATGAGGGGCACACTCAGGCAGCCTTCCCGGCCCTGGAGGCAGAAAGGCCCAGGCAGAACCACCGACTGGGAGGAAACAGAAAAAGCAGAGGAGAGCCAGGCTGCAGGCACGTGGATGGGACCCACTTGGGCAGATGCTGTCTCATACCCACTCTTCCCTCTCTTGCCAGGGCCTGGCCTAGTGTCTCTCAGGAGCCTGGGCACCAGACAAAAGCAGAGATTGTTCTCTTGTGGTGCCGTCGGCTGTAATCAGTCCACCTAACGTTTTAGAAATTTAAATTGGTTGCCAATCTTTTTAAATTGGTAACATCTTTTACTACATTAAAATCTCGATGCCCGGCTTCTCTTGAAAATGTCAAAGCTTGGTAATGCCAGGTCCTCACTTCCACATGGGGGGAATGGAGTCGCAGAGATGTCAAGTCTCTTCATGTGGTATGTACCCTCCGGTTTGCCACAGTCCTGACCACCCCAGGACTCACGCCCAGGCCTTTCCAGTGCCCTTGCACCATCCTTTTTCTCTTAAGAGGAAAATGAAGTGGGTCTCTACCCACAGTGTATCACAGGTGAGGGTGAGACGGTCAGAGAGGGCTGTGCTGGCTGTGGCTTTGCTTGACCCGCCCTGTCCATGCTGCAGTGGTGCGGAGGGGCAGCGAGGTATGCGGGGCCAACTCCGGTTCCTGCCTCAGCTCCATGCTCCTCGCACCTGTGAGTGAAAGATCTAAGACGAGCAGGCCCAGGGCACCCTCTACTGCAGGGCCAGGTGGAGGGGCCTCCACCTCCCAAGGCTCCCCCCATGCCAGGGGCCCAGACCTTGAGAGCCCAGCACCAGCTCTCCAGAGCAGAATGAAAACTACACCCCAGGGCTTTGGACTCAAACCATCTAGAGGAAGCAGCAGGAGGTCCCAAATGTACTTGTGTGACACAATGATCATTCTCTCCCCAGGTGCAGGACAGGGGCAGGGGAAGGTGAGTGGAAGCCCATTGCTCAGATAAAGAGCAGCTGCCACTGAGGTGGCCCCGTGGCCTATGCCGGCGCTCACTGATGTCTTCCTCTAGTGCCTGGGGCTGGCATGGAATCTGCTCAAATGCAGGCAGCTGGAGGTGAGCCCACAGCCTGGTGCTCCCAAGTGCCAACCATGAGGAAGTCTGGAGAAAAGACCAGGGAGCAGGGGCCCTCGTGAGGAGCAGGAATTGGCAGAAGGGGCCACCAGAACACCAGAGGGGATAGTGGCAGCGGGAGGAAGATAGAGCTAGGCTGAGTCTCAGCCCCGTCACCTCTTGGCTGGTGAAGCCTCTGGCCTGTTCCTCCTTTCAGTCACCACTTCATCCCTGGGTGGTCGTGGGCCCAGTGCAGGACTGGCTACAGGTGTTTGTTGATTGATAACTGCTGACGAAAATGCACAGCTTCACAAACAGAAATGCATTTCACCAACACCCTTGCAGGAAGCCCTCCAGGAGGGACAAAACCATCCCCGCTTTACTGTTATGGATGTGAGCCTCCGAGAGGCAGTGACTTAGATGCTCATCCAGCCAGGAAGGAAGGGACACACTTGACCCTCAGTCTGAGACCCCATCAGGCCACCAATAATTCTCCCTCCAAACCCAGCTCAGGTTAAGGCCTATCTTCACCCTCAAATCACCCTCAAGGCAGGCTTAACTCCTCTCCACAGCACTATAGCCATCCCCACCTGGCCCCGATGCTCCACAGACAGGGCCACCTTCCTCCACAGACCCTAAACCAGAGCCCTCTTGGGCTTTGCTGGCCCGAAACCACCTAAACTTGTTACTCACGTGTTATTTTTACACTGGCGTTTCCCCTCAGCCTTGCATACTGTGTGGTGTTTTCTGACACCACTTTTCCAGATGTCTGACACCAACGTCAGGGCTACCCACACTTCCTGGCCAACTACACATTCAGGGGTTCCCATGACTCCACCCCCTCAGGTTCAATAATTTGCCAGAGTGACTCAGAACTGAGGATCGCCCTGCCCTGACGCTTCCTGGTGTGGTGTCCTCAGGGATGCAGTGCAGGCAGGAACAGCCACACTCGAGATGAACAGGGTAAGGGATGGGAGCAACTGGCAGCCACTGGAATCTCAAGTTTTGGGTTTTTTGTTTGTTTTTTTGAGACGGAGTCTTGCTCTGTCTCCCAGGCTGGGAGTGCAGTGGTATAGTCTTGGCTCACTGCAACTTCCGCCTCCCAAGTTCAAGTAATTCTTCTGCCTCAGCCTCCCAAGTAGCTGGGATTACAGGCACCCACCACCATGCCCGGCTAATTTTTGTATTTTAATACAGATGGGGTTTCACCATGTTGGCCAGGCTGGTCTCGAACTCCTGACCTCAGGTGATCTGCCCGCCTCAGCCTCCCAAAGTGCTGGAATTATAGGCGTGAGCCACCGCGCGCCCAGCCCTGAATCTCAAGTTTGTAAAGTGCTCCACCTCAGTCAGCCTGACTCCCAGGAGTCACTGCTTGGGATTGAAAGTTTCCACCTTCGAAATCACCTGGTCTTTCTGGTGCAGGAGCGACCCTGAGGCAATCTAGGGGCCCTACTGTAACAACTTCATTAGCATTAACTCAAATGGGCTGGAAAGGGGTTATGAATACCAAGACATTCACCACTCACGAAATTTCAAGGGTTGTTGGAGCTTGGAGCCCCGTGTTAGGAACCCAGGAGGAAGACCAAATATTTCTTAGTATCCCACACATACCCTTCCTCAGTTCTCCAATTATCATAATTCTATTCATCCTTCACATTCCACCCTCACCTTCTATGAAAGCGCCCCTGAATTTGCTGCAGGATACAGATTGCTCCTGGAGTGCAGTTCTGGTGTGAGCTTGCAGAGGCAGCACAGTGCCCTGGGCAGCCCTGTGTACCCCACGACTGTCAGATCAAAGGGCAACATGACCCTGGCCCACAGTGGCAGGAGCCGAGTGCCACTGGCTTGGCCCTGGGAACCTGCACATCTCCCCTCTGGGCCAAGGAAATGAACAACACAGACAACAGGGTCTCCCTGATGGTCCCATCCCCAGGGTGGAGGCCCTGTACCAGGCACTGCTCTGTGCTCGCCTGCGCTCCGCAGCCGCCGGCAGTGTCCGGAGGATGTTGGAAAGCTTGGGAAGAGCAGGCTGAGCAGCTCCTTTGTGGACAGAAAGGCCATGTGGAGAAGAAGCGGCACATCAAGCTCTGGTTAGGATCCAAAAACAAATGCCAGCTCCTAGGATCCCCAGACCAGGGTGTGAAACGTAGCCCAGAGCACCCCAGACCCGCACCAGTTGCGTCAACTGTGACAGTACCCAGAGTGGAAAAAACACGAACTCACACTGTGTTTTCCTCCGCTGCTCTCTCAACGCCGAGAGACATCTGTGGCCAAATGTGTTGGGGATTTCTCCCGACACCAAGCAAGCAAGCAATTCTGCAGCCTACACCAGCTGGGTATCCTCCAATTCAATTCAGTGCTGACCGTACCTATAGCACCTGGAAATGGAATCCACAGGTTCAGGGCTCTGTCCCACGAGACTGCCCCCTCCGCACGTTGGACTGACCACCCTCTTTGGGTGGGATGATTTGCCAGAGCGGCTCACAGAACTCAGGGAAACTTATGTTTACCAGTTTATAACAAATGTTATTAGAAAGGATACAAATAAGTAAACAGCCAGATGAAGATACACACTGGGTGAGGTCTGGAAGGGTCCTGGGCAAATGAGGGAGCTTCTGTCCCCATGGAGTGGGGGTGTGCCATCCTCTAGGCACATGGACAAATTCTCGTTCCCCTCCCTCCCTCCACATGTTCAGCTCTCCAGAAGCTCCCCAAAGCCTACCTTCCTGGGCCTTTTATGGAGACATCATTGGATAGGCATGGCTGAAGCATGGCAACCATGTTGAGATGAAACTGGACAAAAAGCATAAGGTCTAAACCCAGCAAGTCCTGTCGGTCTAGATGCTTCCTGATCTCTCTGTGCAGCGTTCCTCCTTCCCGGGTATGGGGCAGGACCCTCTCTGGAATGAGGGTCTTATGAGCTACAGTCAGATTAGAGTCTGGCATTGAGCAAGTGAAATGAGGGCATGGTCACAGACAGAGATTCCATTTTTGAGGCCTGCAGCGCCCCAACAAAGGGCTATGGAAGTGATGAACCAGAACTGTGGACAAAAACATCTACACACACACACACACACACACACACACACACACA